GTAGGTGGCCGACGAAGTGCTGCCAAAGGATGAGATAGGATGAGGTAGGAGGCGGTCGAGGAAGGAGACGCAGGTAAGGTTGCAAGTGCTCACGCATACGAGGAAGCGCGAAGAGGTGCATGTGAGTGGCCGTGAGCGAGCAGCGACCGATCGACCGGCAGTGGATGCGAAAGAGAAGAGGACGACGTCGTTGTGGAGTCAGTAAACTCTGCCCTCGGACGGCGACAGATTGCAATTGCCACGTGCACTCGTGCGCGTCTTATCGTACACCGTGATAGATAAGGTGAAGTCGCGGCGTTAGGGTGGGGGTCGAGATGTCTGGCGGATGGTTGGGTGGCTGGAGGGGTGGAGCGAGGGGATTTAGAGCTTAGGAAAGGGGACGGCGCGGGAGTGGGTGGCAGTGGTGGTGGCGGTGGCGGCGGTGGGGCCGCGTGGCGGGGGATTCGGGGAGGGGAATATGGTAAAGGGATGGGAAGGCGGTATGGAGGGAGGGTGACCGGATCACTCCGCATTGGTAGCTAGTGTGCATGTGTGCGGGAGCGGCGCAGCTTCCTCCGGTCAGGGAACTGAACGACGAGCCTCGGGATGCCACCCTCGTGACCGCGCGCCCGTGGCTCTTTAATTCGCGCGAAAGGTGGATGTAAGTGCCAACGGATGCGATATAACTGGGGAGCTCGGGGATTGGTGAAGCGCCGCTTTCGTTGGATTGTCGTGGAGGCAGAATGGGACAGTCGTCGAGCGCGAACACCGGCCACAGCGGTGAGTCCCATTTATTTAACGCATTAATTTTCCTGATTTCGTAATGCTCGATGGCTGGCTCGATTGGCAATGGGCGCGCATTTGTCCGCCTCGGTGCGTGACAGCCGGCTGTCGTGATAACACCCCCGCTTTTATCTCCTTGTGTTGGCATTTTGAGGTTAGGTGCGATATTTTCTGCGATCTCCTTTTAATGATCGAGCGAGCCTATCGCTGCTGCGCACCTCTGTGTTTTTATTAGAATTGCGCTTTCGAGAAGGAATGGATATTGCGTTTTGTGAGATGGGCATTTGAGGTTAAGTCGTGATCGAATCAGGTGTTTTGTTGATTCGAACGCGGCGAGTCTCGATGCTCCAATCCTTTTTTATGATGGATGATGATGATTTCTTGTGACTGTCGGGGCCTAGATCGATAATTGTACACCAGCCTTTGGCATT